ATCCAAGCATCCCAAAAAGTGGAGTGATTACAGAAGAGGATAACTGATCTTTCTCAGTGGGCAGAAACCTGTGGGCAGCTTTTTTTTTTCCAACACAAAAGGGGCCAATTAATGTGACTTGAAATATCTGCAGTAATGCTGTAGCGTAGTGGAATCATCTGAAATCAATCAAATCAATAAATCACACACGACATATTTGGTATGGGATCAATAGCCTATGGAAATGGGTATATTGTTGTAGAAATTGTTATGAAAGTGTCGCTTCAAAGAAAAACCAGCCTGTCCAATGTCCCCCGTCTGCCTTAATGCTAGCCCACAATGGTCCTGAGTGCTAGCCAAAGAGTCTCTTGGCTACCATGCAACGAATCAGCCCAGAAGAAGTGGGTCTTCAGGCTGACCTCCCTTGGAGGGCCACAGGCCTGGGTTTACTAAATCAGAGACAATTCAGAGTGTGAACAATTTAGAAAACAAAAACTCATGGTGGTACGTGCCTTTAAACCCAGTATTAAGGGAGGCTGAGGCAGGAGGATCACTACAAGTTTGAAGCCAATTTGGGCTACACAGTGACACTTTGTCTCAAAAAGAGAAAGAAAGAAAGAAAGAAAGAAAGAAAGAAAGAAAGAAAGAAAGAAAGAAAGAAAGATAGTTTACTAATTCTCAAAAAGCTTTAATTAAATGCTGACCTCTTAATAAATCTAACTTTCAGCAAGAACACATAGTAGTATAAAAATCATGCTTATTAAAAAGCACAAAATAAGCTTTTTCCCCAAAAGAGCTCTATAAATTTGTTTTGATGTCATAAGATTTTAAATATGTATAATCTTTGATTCCACTTGCTATATAGAAAAGACGAATGTTATATCTTATATATAATTACCATCTATTCCATTTTCTATAGAAAATACCGTATGTACTCTATATGAAACAGCCAAGCTCTACTGAAGTATTAAAATAGATACATTGCTAATTCAAACTGTCTATCAAAGAAAAGGCTTTTCCTTGATGAGATTCATTTCAGGAATCTCATTTTAACCTTAGCACCACTGCTTGGGAAAATCTCTAACACCACATCTGACACTCAACACCTTTCCTACCTTTTAGAGAGTTTGACCTTTTGCTCACTTGAACAGAGGAAATCTACAAGAAATGTGAACCGTTCATTCTCACACATTCATTACTACATTTGTGGGTTTAAAATGGTGATTCGGTGTCTTCTCAAAAGATAGAACTGAAAATACTGGGTATAGTCTGAAAGTTTTTGGATTACATTTTATAAACTCTAGGAAGTTTTATTTAAAACAGATAACCTAATTGTTACAAAACCTTTGTTGACACCTTTGTTTTTCACTAAAAATTACCTTATGAAATATTGAAAATATAATGGGTCATTTGGTAACAATATACTTACCCCGAAATCCTCATCTAAAAATATTTGAGCCAAATAAAATCTCTTTTAATCAACTCCAAAATCTTACGTTAGTCATTGCTCTTTTGCAGGAATAATTCAAGATTCAATCTGAGAACTGAGAATAAACTGTGATAATAAAATGCCGAGGTCTGGGTCAATTTTCAACTGAACACACTTGGCCTCTCTCCGTTGGCATCAGATGCAATGCAGAGCCAGTTGAGCAATCCAAGAGAACACTGCACCCTGAAATCAACAGTAACACCTGCTGCGATGTGAAACAGTCTAAACATCTCTATTCTAATTAGTTTACTAAGTTCTGCTGCACAGTTTGTTAAAATATTTGCCAACTTACAGAATTCCTCAAGCAACAAATTTTGAACCTATTCAGTCCAAACCATCCTCACTACCAACAGTGTCTCTGGTGAAAAACAAAAAGTCTGGGGCTGGGGTTTAGCTCACTGCGAGGCACTTGCCTAGTGTATGTAAGTCCCTAGGTTCCACAATTAAATGGCAAAATCCACCAACAAAAACATTCCTAATGAAACAGAGGGAGCGTACCCACAAACATCTGAAGAGTAAATGATCAAAGGGCTGGGGATTTAGCTCAGCGGCATAAGCACCTGCCTTGCAAGCAGGCAGTCGTGAGTTCGATCCCCAGTACCAATAAAAAGGAAAAAGAACAACAACAACAAAAAAGAGTAAATGGTCACAGTCAATTTCAAAGCAAGAGGGGAAAAGACCAATATTCAAAGGAAGACAGTCACAGACAAGCGTAACTCCGCAGCAATCTACTTTAAACACATGAACAGGTTTCTTGTGGAATTTCATGACACTGCATGGTATATCATGTGAATGGGGGGGAAATCAGTGCAAATGGAGCTCAGTTTCCTTAATGAGACTACAACACCCAACATAAAGATATCTCCTTGATATCTTTTTTTTTTTTTTTTTTTTTGTCTTTTTCCTTTTTATCAGTACTGGGGATCGAACTCACGACTGCCTGCTTGCAAGGCAGGCACTTATGCCGCTGAGCTAAATCCCCAGCCCCCTATCTCCTTGATATCTGAACATAGCTGTTATTTACCATGAGCCATTTCACCACAGAAACTGTCAGCAATTTCAAGAGGGAAACAGCAGTCAAAAGGCATGGATAAGTTACAGTAATCTCTCCCTCGTCCTTCTTTTTCCCAAGCAGCTATTCTGATTGGAAGCCACCCCTCCTCGTTGAAATCACCCTTTTCTATTGGCCTCTGGTGAAGACCACAGCTGTTGCAGAAGGCAACTCTCAACCAGCTTTCTTCCTCCAAATCTTTTCCACCTGGTCTCTCTACCGAGTTTTTCCTATTGCTTCTCTCTACCCTTGGGTTTTCTGATACCCTACAATCCAGTTCCACTTGCAAAGCTATCTGTATAGCCAGGCCTAATAATTTTTCACTCTTCCCTCTCTCTTGTGCCCTGAGTCAAGATCTGTCTGCTTTTTGGAAGCACCTCTCACACTCCCCATCACGACTGCCTCCGCCTCCTCACCCAGCTCTCTACAGTCACTGCAACCATGTTCTCGCTGCCTCCTGAGTCCACCTGCAAGATGACAACACATGTCTGGGATGGCCTTCAAGGAGCAAAGAGCTTGTGGTCACCCTCCAGTTCCCGCTCCCTGGGACAAAGATGCTTTTGAATGACTGTTAGGTCTCTCCCCTCTGTGGGAAATTCCCCAGTAGGCAGGCCAGGGTGGGGATTAAGTGGGGGCCTGGGCTAAGACTAGGTCTCCTCCACTATTGTACATCTCGGCCTCCACTTCTTGTCTGTAAAATGAGGATGACAGCAGTAATTACCTCCTTAGTAATGTTTGAAGATTTAAAATTTTAAAAATTCCAACTACAGAAGGGCTGGCTGTCACTTTGAATCAATTCCACCTCCTGGTCTTCCTCTCCTAAGGCCCTGGGCCCTTAACTGATTGAGTAGTTCTCTAAGGAGAGCTTTCGCTAAAGGCAGAAGCCTCCTGGTGAACCATTGCTGGGCCTTCCACATACTAACCCAAGCTGCCACATTCCTCAGACCTTAGAAATCTGCAAGACAATCTGTTTGTGTTTTTAATCTCTACCCCACGGTCTGCTTGTCTTAGATTTAGCTGTCCATTCCCCTGAGGGAGGGGATGCCTCCAGCTGAGGGAGAACCAGGAGGAAAAAAGCAAGTTAAAAACCCTTTCCTGGGTCTGTGTGTGAGACAGTGAGGATTGTCTAGATTTTATGAGGCCTCATCTTTACGTGGGTCCTGAAGTAGGACAGTGGCCCACAGAGGCCAAGGGCTGGGAAGAAAGGGTGAGGAGAGAAAGCATATACTATTCTCAGCTCTCTCCCTACACAACTTTCTCTGTTAATTCAGTTAGGTTAACGCAATTATCTTAGGTATTCTGAAAAACATCCTTATTTCAGAATAAGGAAGCTGTGGTTCTAGAAATAACATGTTATGTACTTTGAGGATCAAGTTACAATGCCCCAGAGTGTGGAGGTTTCAACACGGTCAGCTTTTTGGGAGATTGCCCAACTCATGTCCTCCTGTTCTGATTTTTAGTTTACAGTTAACTATTAGAAGACAAACTGCCACAGAATTCAACACCTTATCAGGAAAGGTTGTTCAGCAGACTTCCAGTGTATGTGGCTGACCTAGAGTTGCTTCGGAATCTTTATCTGCTCTCCCAAGAGCCCGGGCCAGCCTCAATACCTGTGTGGCTCAGGCAGCTCACAGTCTTGCTTTGGTTTTCATGCTCAAGCTGAGAAACACCTGAAAGACATCAATCCCAGCAAACTGCAGAACCAGAGCAGCTGACACAAGCCAGCACAGTGAGGCCCGCAGCTACAGAAAGGGAGGCACACAGTTCCACAGTGAAGAAGCCTTGCGAAGGAACAGGATATTAGGTAGATTAGTGGCTAGGAGCCCTCCTGGGTCAGAGCCACCAGACCCATGCTGCACAAACACTGCTCACGACATCCCTGGCTGCCTGCACACCTGCAGCACCATTGAGAAGCTGCTTCCAGATCTCAGCATCTGATTCCTGCCGAGGTTCACGCCTGCCTCACCGTCATCTTTTCTCATAAGTTCTGTGACATCCTTGTGCACGCCATCTCCCTGACCAACAGAAACACCCCTCCTGTGTTTTCAAGGAAGCCACAACCAGCTTGTTTTTGCTTTAAACAATGAAATCCAAATCTGATATGTTATCTTTATTTTTTTCAAAATAACTCAAAAGTACTGATTTTGTGTGTGAAGATCTTTAAAAACTCACCATCAAAAGATTAAAATAAAGGTAAATTTAGCGTACTAGCAATGGAAAGCAGATCCATTTCTTCATCTGACTGCGAAATAGAGGCCAGCTTGCCTCCTTTAGAAAGATCATGTTCCAAAAGCCCTCTACTGGCCAGGTGTGGTGGTGCTCAGCTGTAATCCCAGCAGCCTGGGAGGCTGAGGCAGGAGGCTCACCCTGGAGGCGTCTGCAGGTTGCAGTGAGGAGCCAATGCTCTCTCTCTCCAGGGTCTCTCTGGCACCCTCTCGGCCCCTGGCTCAGAGGAGGAACCCCAAGCCCAGCCATGCTCACCTGTCCTCGAAGCACATGGTGCACCTCCAGGCGCGGGTCCTGCGCAGGAACACGCGGCACTCGGAGCACACGCGGTGGCTGCAGCCCTGGCACACGGCGCCCCGGTTCAGCAGCAGCCCCAGCGCCCGCTGGCAGCGCGCACAGCACTTGTCCTTGTACTCGCGGCTGGGGCCTTTCGCCCCTCGCCACCGGAGATGCTGCAGGTGCGTCTTCAGTCTCCTGCGACCAGAGGAATCAGATAAGATACAATTGAGTGGAACAGCAGTGGCCAGGCCTCAGGCGAGAGAGAGCCTCGACTGAACCGCGCGAGTGGCAAGGGCCTGGGCTCCCGGCACTGACTTCCCTGGGTTCCAGCCTGGCAGCGTGAGCTGGGGCTTGGCTGCTTCTCAGCTGTGAAGCGGGAGACCAGCTCACCTCACAGGTGTCCAGGAGCAGCACAGAGCAATGTGTAAGCAGCATGCCTGGCCCAGATCTTTCCATGCTCAAAAACAGTGAAAGAAAAGGGAAGGACACAAAAAGGGCGCCCCCAACTGGGCACGGTAACACATTGCAGTGTTTCTGGAGGCTGAGGCAGGAGGATATTGCTGTGGCAATTTAGGGAAATACTCTCAACAAAGGGCTGGGGATGTAGCCCAGTATAAAGAGCCTGGGTTCCGTCACCACTAAAAGGAGCACGTACAATAAAAGGCATCCCTTTTAATATATAGGCATAGGGAAATCTATAAACATACAGCATGGCATATTTCCTGCTATTGTGGTATTTTACACAGTAAAATTATATAACTGGTGCTTGCTTTTGCTACTTTTTTTTGTTTTAATGGGAGGTCAGTGCCCTTCTACCTCCTAATTTCTCTAGGCAAGACCTTGGCTGTGGTGCAAAGAAACGTTGTATTGGAGCCTAAAAGGCATCATTATCCTCTGCACTTCTAAATGAAACATCTCCATTATCCACTTTCAGAAGAGATAAGCTAATGCCAAGGAAAATGATTACACCAGAAAGATACTTTACAATTCAACTTTTTTTGAATTTTCCATGGAAACAATAACCTTTGAAACAAACCTCCCTTACCCCAGTGTCCACATTATCAATAATATTCAACATAATGTCTTCAAATCACTGAAAGATCTTGAATCACTAGAGGAAATTGTGTTTTTGTCAGTGTGTTATATTTTCTAATGGGCAAAAGTTTACTAGTACATTTTGAGAGCCCAGAATAAAAGAGAGGATGGAAAGCGATAGTATACCTTCCAGTCAATCAGAAAATTTCCCTTTTTCCTCAAACCCTTGTTTGTACAAAGGTTTATTTTATTTAACTTTATTTTTGGAGATAAGATCTCACTTTGTATCCAGTTGGCCTCGAATTCACAGTGGTTCTCTTCCCTCAGTCTCCCAAGAGCTAGAATTACAGGCCTGTGCCACCACACCTGGTTGGCACAAAGTTTTACACTGTATATTTTTCTTGGCAGATTTTTCAAGAGTTCTACCATTAGAAACCAAACCAAATTTCACTGGCTTGAGGGAGGAGGCGCTGGGGATTAAACTCAGGGCCCTGCTCATGCCAATCACACACTTTACTGCTGCACCACGCCCCAGCCAGATATACTGACTTCTACACCTCACGTCCTCCGGAAACATTGCAAATAACCAGTAAACTGGACCTAAAGAAGGATCTCGACAACAATGGGCAGCTCTGATACCTTCACCTGGCACAGCTGTGTTAATTCATGTCGCACGGCTCATCCAACTTAGGAAAGAAACTCACTATTGACAAAGCAGTCCGGGAACAGGCTAAGCAGGTTCATGTTTTGTGCTCTCTCTTTCCTCAAAGCCAAGGGGGAAGCAAAAACAAGCAAAGTAAAAAGTCACCAATGGATTCCATCAGATCTGCTGTTTCTAAGCCATTTTCTTTGTGTTTTCAGGTGCAACCAAAAATAATGTGTAGAAAAAAATCTAAATCCAAGGTCTTTCCCTCGGGGGAAGAACCAGAAGCCTAAAAGTGCTGCTTGAAGTCATTCCATGAAGGAGGCAAACGGAAAAGCAGATGGGAAGCAAGCATTACAAAAGGCAACATTTGAAGTGAGGAATGAGGGCAGCCTTGTCCTTACCGCAATTCAAGTTCAGGTCAATAGCAAAGCTACCTCCGCTCACAAGCCTACCCCAGAGACCTCGTTCAGAAGCCCTGCAGTGGGTGACCAGCAACAAGTAAGCAAGCACCAGTTAGCCAGGGTTCCAGGCAGGCTGCGGGAACCCCAAGTCCCCAAAGACCTGCACCCATTAGCAGGGCAGCTTACCGTATCCTTTCCTCCTCTATGCTTCGCACAGTCCGATCTCGGTAGAGGACCTGCAGGATGACTTCCCGCTCTAACTCCTTGAGGGAATCCAGATTCACTTCATGGGCCATTTCCTGTCCCTTTGCTTGGACCCAAGTTGAAAGCTTTTCACAGTCCAGCAGGATAGTGTTCACGCAGAGTCCAGCTGCGTTCTTTAAAGAGCCCCTCTCTGATTTCACTGTTGCCTGTGCTCTGCTTGGAGCTCTTTTCTCTTTCCTAACTGGGTCATAGTCCTTGGAGAAGACGGCTTCCAGAGGCTGTCCCTCTGCTGGAGCCACTGGCGCCTGGGAGTGTTTTCACTGGGTTTTGCCACAGCCTCTGACATCCGCCTGAGACAAGAGCATATCTTTTTTCTGAGGTTTTGCCAGAGATTGTTATAAATTATGCATGGCTCCAAGCAGATAATTTCTGCAAAGCAGAATAATCCCCAACCTGAGGAAGTTTACAAATAGCAAGAAGAAGGAAATAAATGACTTATGGAAGCTAATCTCCCTGTAAAGTGTTTCCAGGTCAGCAGAAATGACAATCAAAGGGCCAGTTGGTTCGATACCTGTAGAAAAGACAAGAAAACGCAGTGTCATCTTTCCTGGGTTGAGTATCTCTGCAATGTTACTTCAAAAGAAAGACAAAATTTCTACAACAAAATGTGCATTTCCTGCTGCAGTGACAATGTAAGGTTTTAAATTTAATTGAATAAGACATATTATATATTCAGAAGTTTCACACTTGGATTTTTCCTAATGTGAATTCTGTCTCTTCAGAAGTTCAGGGTATGAAGATCTGTGTCTAACATACAATCGTGTGTCACTTAGTGATGGGGTAAGTTCTGAGAAAGCATCATTAGCTGATTTCACCACTGTGCATCGGAGAGCTCGCCGACCAAATGCCACAAACCTAAGCAGTCTACACAATGTGTGTACGGCTTAGCCTGTTCCTCCCGGGGTGGTGCTGAACACAACACAAGACCAGATCAGCTGCAAGAGAAAAATGGTGTAATCCAAAGGTGCAGGACTCGGGGACACTGAGACCAGAAGATCACAGGTTCAGAGCCAGGCTGGGCCACTCAGTGAGACTCTGTCCTAAAATAAAAAATAAGGGCTGGGGATGTCGTTCAGCAAGAAGACCTTGGGTTCCATCTGGGCACACCAAAAAAAGACATGGATGAGGCTGCTGCCAGAGTAATATGACAGGTTTTATATTAAGCTTTGCAAAAATAAGTAAAACACTCTAAAATAATGATCAAAAGCATAGTACAGTAAGTGCATAAATCAGTAAATGTTGTTTATTAGTATTATAAACCATACATAATTGTATGTGCTACATTTTTCTATAACTGGCAGCACCACAAACACAAGAGTGATGTGCAAAGAATTTTTCAGTCCATTATAATCTTATGGGATCACTAAGCTGCTTTGCAGCCCGTTGCTGGCTTGAAACGTCATTACATGGACATGACTGATTGCATCACTGTAATTGAAAATACATTAGAGAAATGTTATTCTCCACTGCTAGCTATTATTTTTACAAGTAATGTCAAAACTAAAAAAGAAAGAAAATGAAATCAAGTCAGGTGTGGTGGCACACACCTGTAATCCCAGCACTCTGGGAGGGTGAGGCAGAACAAGGCCAGCCTGAGTAACTTAGTGAGATTCATCTCAAAAGTTTAAAAAGGGTACATGTGCGCTGGGGATGCTGATCAGTGTGAAGACCCAGTACCACACACCAAAAAAAAACCGTAATCAATTTGGAAAGTATAAAGTGGCATCAGAACCTCAATCTATCAATTATTTATAAGCTTTAATCATTTTCATGGGCTCCATTAAAGCATCAGGCTTTGTTTCTGTTTGCACGAGCTGATAGCTTTTGCACACATCCTTTCACCAAGAGAATGTGGACAATGAACTGAATATTCTTTCTACAGTGTCATTTTTGATAGCAAATCTAGTGAATCCCACAGCAATAAGATGTCCTTCTGATGTTCTAGAAGCTAAACTTCTTTGCCATGCTCCAAGAGGGTCCACATTAGATTATGATCCATAACAAATCTATGAATAAGAGATTAATAGGTAAGGTATTCTCTATAACCAAAGGCTCTTAATCTTTGGTAGTGTGGTGAAATTTATGTGTTTAAGTGCATAAAATGAAATACATAGGTTACAAGGGAAACATTATGCAGGTATAATTTTAATTGTAACACAGTAGTAATGTATATTTGTTCATGCATGAAATATTAAGGTCTAGGAGTGTTCTAATACCTACCAACCATAATTTCAGATGAGATAGGCACATTTAGGGTGATCTGGCTATAGACCCAACAATAATTTCAAGGTGGTGATGGGCATAGAAATATTTGAGATGTTCTATCTACAATTAATGTAGTATGGAAATATCTGGGGGTTTTTTGGAGACCAAGTTACAGGTCCTATTGAGTCTAGGAAATGCTAAATTCTAATCAAGATGAATGAAAATAAAGATGTAATTTTCCCCCATCCAATCCTTGGGTCACTGGCTAGTGAGTTCCAGCTTCACGGAGTCCATGTCTGTCAGTTTCTTTACTGTGAGATGCAGTTAAAATACCCGACTCACCCCAGTCACAGAGGTTGCCTAGAGGAGGACTTCTTGGGCTCCAGACTCCTGGCCATGACTCTCAAGTGCTGGCTCTCCAGCAGCTTCCTATCTAGCTGGCAGGAAACTGTAAAGCAACCAGGGTTCTGGGCTCTGTCCTGGAGACTGACATCTCTGCCCACCTTGGGGCCTAAGCTACCTCCCCAACCCCTTTAATTTTTTTTTTTTTTAAATTTTGGGACAGAGTTTCCACTAGATCACAAGTTACCCAGACTGGACTCAAACTTGTGATCTTCCTGCCTCAGCCCGCCTAGAATATTGGGATTACAGACCCGCATCGCCCTGCCCGGCCGTTCTTGCTGTCATCTTACTTCTGCTCTAGTGAACATACTGTTGTGTCAAGAGCTGTCTGGTTTGGCTGGGTCTCAAGAGTTTTAGTAAAGATTTTTGCACTTGGCTCAAAACACCAGATGCGAGCACTGTGCTTTTTGTGTGGCAGTTGCTTGCCCTCTCCGGCTCTGGCCTTCAACTGTTCAGGAAAGCAAGACCACATTCAGCACACTCCTTGGCTGATAATGACAGCATCTGGTGTTTCCACAGGGACCACCTGGGAATCTTCAAATGCATACTCCTCAGGTGTGTAAGTCTCACACATCTCAGAAATACAGGATCCAGCTATCACAAAACACCACTGGTGGGCTGGGGATTTAGCTCAGCAGCATAAGCGCCTGCCTTGCAAGTGTGCGGTCATGAGTTCGATCCTTGGTACCGATAAAAAATGAAAAAGACACACACAAAAAAAATCAGCTTCTAAAACACCACTGGATGCTGCATCACCCCCAGCCTTGGGCAGGGTCCCGCTGTGGGAAAGGTTCTTCTCAAGAAGTGGGAGCTGAGCGCCCCCTCGTGGTTATTCACTCCTAGTTACATGAAACTGAAATTGGTTTGTTTGCCAGATCTTTCCATCTGATCATTCAGTAAATGTTTACCAAGCACCTTCCAAGCGTATTATAACGTATTATTAGGTTTGTAGGAGAATGGAGCAGAGGGAAATAGAGGACTTGTTGGTTATTTTTTTAAGTTGTGTTGTGCTGGATTTGGAAACTTTAGTTTGGCTGTGCATTTGTTTGCTTAAGTAATAAATTTCAAGTCTGACTTCCAGGTTATAACTGAGTTCAGAGTTCCTTTTTCAATACAAATTATTTAAAATATTTTAACAGAATCTTTGAGTCTTCTTCAACCAGTACTGGCACTTGGTGTCTACTGAGTTAACATCTGATTGTTGCAAATTTTAGGTCAGCTGCCAACTTGGAGACTCTATTCTGTAAAATCCTTCCAAGTCACTCAAACAATTTGCTAAAACTATTCTTGCCATATAATCTACTTATCCAAGACAGGTGCAATTTATTTATTTAAAATATTTTAGAAGGTTTTTTTAGTAATGGATAGATTTGATTTCTGGCCACTTATACTTGTAAGAAATTTAAAAAACCATCATTGAGTTACTGTACATATTCTTTAAAATATGGATAGAGAATATATCCATAAAGCATCCCTCAAATACTTTAACTGTATGTGATGCTTTAAAATAGAAGAGTCAGTAAAAGAATCCTGTGGAGGCTATGAGAGGTGGTTTGCACGGTCTTTGCACTCTGCCATGTGTCATCACATATTGGCAGGCTGGTACTTCACGCATTGTAAGATGACAGAGCAAAGTGTGAGGACATTTTTAATCTTCACAAAATGGTGCAACAGGCAGCTGTTCAGAGCTGACTGTACTCAGGCACTTGCACACAAACACCCAAATGCAGCCAGCAGGAAAAGCAGGGACTCTGGGGAGCAGATGCTGAGGAACAGGACAACCATGATAGGACTGGACGTCTTCATGGCAAAGGTGACTCTAGCTGAGTCTAGAAGAGGACAGGAGCTGCTAGAGGAAAAGGAAGGAGAAGGCACTTCCACGGCAAGGAGAGGGGTACACCGAGCAATACTACAGGGGCTCTGGGGGAAGCTCAGCAGCAGAAGGCTCGCCTAACAATGGCAAGGCTCTGGGTTCAATCCCCATTACCACAAAAAAAAAAAAAAAAAAAAAAAGCAGGAATACCTTCCTTCCTTCTCAGTGAAGTAGCCCAGTTTGAACCTGACATTCCTGACCTATCTGGCCTAGTCTTTTCCTTCACCTCCATCCTCAGTTCTCACAAAATGTTCAGCGTGCCCACATTGAACTCATTCCGGAACATTCCCTGAACACATCATGTGCTCTTCCCTGTTCCCTGAGGGCAGTCAGGGGACAGAACTTGGGCCTGGCTATCTGTCCCATGAGGAGCTCACTGGCTACTGAGGTGCTGGGCAAGACTGAGTTTTCAGGGACTTGATTTCCTATCTGTTAAATATGTTGCTACTCACCAAGGATTTAGAGCACAGCGCCAAGCATATGAATGGCACTCAGTAAATGTTAGCTATTATTCTTCAGAGGATCATCATTATTATTGTTATTCCGTAATGGGCCAGATCTACTGGCCCCTTAGTCCTTACTGGGTCGGATCCCTTTATTTACAATCAAAATTAATCATCCCTTCACCTTCAATCCCCTCCTAGTTTGTAGCAGTTTCTCAGCGGTGACCTGGACTGCTTCCTATCTTGTGTTTCAGTGTTTCCTTCTAGTGAGGACATCAGGTTTCAGTGACCTCCCACCCCCACATCACCCAGCCTCAAGGAGGTGCCGGATATTTGGCTTGCATTGAGAAGCCCAGGGAACATTGCCTCGTAAACTTATTGAGACAGGAAGTCAAGCAGAGCCAGAAGTAGGATGGTCAGGGAGTGAGCAAAATTGTTACTTCAGAATAGTGTAACAACAGTGGAGTCATTTCCAAATTTGAAAAGAATCCTAGAATCTCTAGTATTTTAATGACCTCATGCAAAAATTCACAATGTTGTGCTTTGAACAATAAAATCTCCCAGATCTATACTCATGGGATAGCATTTATAATATCATTCATTCTTCATTCAACTTTTTTAGTGCAGGAAATCAGAAGCACATTCTTACATTTTGTTTGTCCCAAACCCTGCTGTCGGGCTCCATCCTGCCCACTTGAGCCTTGAGGCCAGGCTCTCAACCTTCTTCTTCCTATATCTACATCCATAGTTTATTCCATCTGTCAGTCTAACCCCACTTAATGATTAAGAGCAGACAAAACTTAATGGCTGCCACACAGAAGGAAAACTTACGTGATTCTCTAGAGAAGCACCTCACATCCAACTAGCCCATCCCCAGCCTGCTTTTGGAGTCAGCCAGTTTGAGATCACACCCCAAGTCCAAGACTTTGCCACATGCCTCCTGGCCAGTTGCTTAGTCTCTGTGAGACTCACCTTCCTTCTATATGAAGTGGAAAAAATGATCTTTGCTTCACAAAGCTGTTGGGGGAGGAACTAAGTCATTCAGGGACAGCCTCAGAGCAATAGCTGTCACAAAGCAACCAGGACACAAGTGCTCCTTCTCTATACAGCACTGTTTCCTCTCCAACAAAACTTAGGAGCAAGGCAGCAGGCCACTTCTCTGGGACTGAGCAGGATGCAGGCAGTGCGGGTGGCGGGTTCAATTAGGTACTACCAAGGTCATCCCCCTTTGTCTTCAGGGGGTAGAGGCCTGACAATCTGCAGGTCTGTCCATGCTGTTTTCTCCTATACATACGTACTTACAGTAAAGCTCAAGGTATGTTCAAACAGGCACAAAGACTCGCAACAGTAACTAATATAAGACACCAGTTATAATGTATTAGAATAATGGTTATTTGAAGTTTATAAACGGCTTATTTCTGGAATTTTCCATATCATATTTTCAGACCAAGGTTGCCCATAGGTAAATGACATGGTGGAAAGTGGACCCGCCAAGGGGAGGGTACCACATTTCTATTTTGTCTTTGTCCAATCACACTGTATCCCCGGGGACTTTGGGTGTTCAGAAAAACACAGTCTCGTCACAATCCTGGTGCATCTGTGTGACCGTGCTTTCCTCACTGGTCTTTTGAATACCACCCACGTGCCAGGCATTGAGAGTATGAGCTCAGGTGAGATCCATCTCTCCAAGGAGTGTACATTCCAGCCAGAGAGAGGACATGTCCACAAATAAGTCACAGTGTGGTAGGATGAGTGTACAAACCCACGGGACTACTGAGAGTAGACAGGGGAGCGAGACAGGGGGGCAAGATTCCCCGTATGTGGGGAGGGCAGACAAGGCTGGTGGCAGCAGGAGGGCTTCCTGAGGCAGAAGCAGGGGCAGCTTTGCTAGAGGAGGAAGCAGCCATGTGCCCATCAACAGACTGCACACAGAAGTGTGTACATTGCATGTTAACTCACCTAGTGATGGTCAAGTCATAGCCATTTCAGTTCAAGTAAATGTGTGCTCTGATGTTCACACACAGACAAATCACCTATCAGTGTATTTTCCAGAACACATTCTGGTCATTATGTGTGGCATGGGACTGCACTCAGTCCTGCTTTGGAAGCTTGAAACAGTGCTTATTTTCCTCTCCCTAGCAGGGAACCTGGATTTTGGCCTTCAAATCTGGTAAAGAAATGAGGTGTGTATACACAGTGGAGTACTGCTCAGCCATAAAGAAGGATAAACTTGAGTCACTTGCAGGGAAATGACTTCACCCTGAGACCACAGCGCTAAGTGAAATCAATCAGACCCGCAAGGTTAAATATCACCTGGTTTATCTTATATGAGAAACTCAAGGTACAATTTAAAGGGCAAATTAAAATACAAATGATAAAAAAAAGGAAAGCTCAGGGAATGAAAGGAGCCCTGGCAGCAGGAGAAGAGGAGAGGACAGGGAGGTGAAGAGGGAGTGGAAAGGATCAAGACGTGACAAGCACAGGGACCATTTCCCACTAGGAGTGAGTTTATCACACGCTGAAAACATACACTATTAAAAACGGGGGCACACACTAATCAAAAGGAAATGCGAAGCCAGAGAGGAAAGAGGAAGCTGGCCAAGGGAAATGCTCTGTACACACAGGCAGGTTCTTATTCTTCCATCAGTTAGGCGTTATCTCGGGTGGTCTCAGATCAAAGGCAGCAGCAGCCGGGCCAGCAGCTCTGACGAGATTGTCACCTCCGCTGGCTTTCGGGGGAAACAGAGCTGCCCCACCATGGAGCAGCCATCTGGGGCCTCCGCCCACCGCCGTACCGCAGCTGCTTCCTGGGGAAGCTCTGCAGCTTCAGCCCCCACACAGACAGACAGACAGACAGGGCTCTGTGCGCAGGATTCAGGGGAAAAGCTGAGTCACCAAAGCGACCTGGCGCCTCACCTGCTCACTCTCTCTCTCTTTCTCTTTCTCTCTCTCTGTCTCTCTCTGTCTCTCTCTCTGTCTCTCTCTTTCTGTCTCTCTCTCTCTGTCTCTATCTCCCCCTCTCTTTTTCTCTCTCTCTGTCTGTCTCTGTCTCTTTGTCTATCTCTGTCTCTGTCTCTGTTTCTCTCTCTCTCTCCCTCTCCCTCTTTCTCTGTCTCTCTCTCTCTGTCTCTCTCTGTGTGTCTCTCTGTCTCTCTCTCTCTGTCTCTCTCTCTCTCTCTGTCTCTCTCTCTCTCTCATCTTATCTCTAATTTCTTTCCTGACAGCAGGCCTGAGAACGCAGGCCCACCGGAGGGAGGGGTTGAACAAAGAGCAGCTTTGTCTGTGTTCTGACCTCCACCAGGCTCCTGGTTACAGGCTTCAGGCTGCCTGGCACAGTGGGAAGGTAGCGTGTGCATGCACCAGAAAGTCTGACGCAAAACGGACGCGGGCTTAGGGATTCCTGGCCCCTCTTGTCTTAGTCAGTAGACTTTCCGGGAAACCAGTAAACTCCAAGCTTTAGGATTTCTCACTTGCACCGCTCTTCTCGAAAGCCCTGTCTCTGGTTCAGCGTCCTGTGGTCTTTTTTTTTTTTGTACCAAGAACCAAACTCAGGACCATGTCGTGCCAGACAGGCCCTGTGGCCCTGAGCTATATTCCCAGTCCCTTAGAGTCCTGTCTTTAAAAAGACCTTGAAAGTTATGTACTTACAAACTGAAGATGGGATTAAATCTTTGCAAGCCAAAGCCGGCCTGAGAGAGGACAAAAATCTCTGCTGTTCACTGATGACTCTGAAATCTTTCTCATTCCAGTAATTCTTATTTCCAACCCCACCTCACCCCTATGTACCCCCAAAATGCTATTTTAGAATCAAATATTTATTTTATTTTTTTAAAGTAGAAAAATTTTAAATCATAATTTTAAAAGGTGAAATACAGATCCATTATTTGCACGGCTTAAACCCAACTTCTATACAGAGGGACTAAGAGGTGAGAACTGTTACTATGGCTACTACTCATAACAGTTTTTGTTGTACCAACAGCTATTATTTATTTAGCACTTAGCCTAAGCCAACTACATACGTTATTTTCAACTGATCTTCATTGCATCTTTATGAAGCACGCTCACCCTGGGAAAGAAGAGAGCCTGGAGCAGTTTCCAAAGTTTACCTGAAGTCACACCGTAGCCTGGGACTGTATGTGTAACTCTGAATTGTGACGCTTCAAGTAGGCAGATAAGTTCAGAAGTTAAAACCTCCCACTCTCTTGGCTGAGTAATTTTTCCTGCATCATTTCTAACTTCTTAATATACCTTTAATACCTACTGTGCATTTTGCCCTGAAAGTCCCTCACTTACCAGATCTGGGAGGAGGGTTGCTGGGGACTGAACACAGGGCCTTTGCACTGAGCTACATCCCCCTCCCACCTCGCCCTGCTCCTTTTATAAAATTTTACTTAAATTGCTAAGTTGTCCAGTCTGGGCTCAGACTTTCAGGCCTCCTACTTCTGCCTCCCAACGTGCTAGGCTAACAGCTGTGTACCATTACACTTGGTTAATGAACTTCTTTATTCTAGAATTATATTTATGTTCCATTTCCAAATGAGAGATTACAGTGCTCGCTTCGGCAGCACATGGACTACAGTTGGAACCACACTAGAGATTATGGGTGATAAAAACAATCTGAAGTTGATTTGAAACAAACAGTAATAAACTGTATGCATAAAAATTTATTTATTTATTTGGTACTGGGAACTGAACTCAGGACCTTGCATTTGCCAGACAGGTATGGTGCCACTGGGTTATATACCTGGCATTGTATATTTATAAGCCAAAATAAAAAAGCAAGTAACATTTTACCACTTAAATAAAAATTCACAGTGTAGCTTTGGGACAGTTTTCTATTTTGTATTTTATCTAGTTCTGAAGCTATTTCTTCTATTGCATTTATATCATTATTCCATTTTATTTTATTTTAATTTTTGGTACCGGGGATTGAACTCACAATCTCATGCTTGTTAGGCAGACACTTAAGCTACTGAGCTAAATCCCCAGCCCTATTATTCCATTTTATATGATTCAATAAAATTACAAATCATCTGCCATCTGATTTATTACTGTTTTTGTTTCCCACATTTTCAATGTCATCCATTGAAGGAATATTACAGTAACTGTAGGCTCTGTCCACCCCAACCCCAAATGACTTGCTCCTGTATAGATGTGGATCCTTATCTTACCTTTATCTGCTTCCAGACAGGAGGCCAGGAACCAGCTCATGGGATGAGGAAGCCGACTCTTCTTAGACTGACTGATCTGTTTCTCTTTCCTTTCGTCACAGGCTGAGGCAGAGCATCCACGTGGTCAACCAAAGAGCTTTAATAGCAACCCCCAAACCACACCAAAGTGCTACTGTAGGCCAACATTTTACGCTGTCAGCTGGAGGAAAGACTCAATTGATCTGATGAAATGTTTCGCCCTTTCCAAGAATACCCCGCCCCTCAGGCCAGCGTGTTTTCTTCGTGTGAGAGGTTTCACATTGACCGCAAATGTACATGACTACAGAACCAGCTAATACACAGCCAGTTCATAATGAGGCTAGCATGAACTTTCTTGGGGTAAATTTTCTGAGCATGCATACAGGAAATTATACAAATCATAAGCACTGTATTGAGGTTTGAATGTCCCTTCCCAAACTCATGTTAAAAATTTAATTGACATTGTATAACAATATGAAAAAGTGTGATCTTTAAGAAGTCATTAGACTATGAGGGCTCTGTCCTCATGAATGGCTCAAGTCACATCAATGAATTTTGTCACATCCCTGTTGCTTACATGTCTAGGAGTAGAAGCTCTGGATCAGAGAAATATGTTCCATGTTAGATACTGCCAAGAAGTTTTCCAAAGTGGTTATCTTAATTCACACTCATACCAGCAACAGGGTCTGGTAGCTCCATATCCTCATCAACACTTGATAATATCTTTCTTTTCATATCCATTCAGAAGGGTATGTAGTAGTCTCACATTATGGTTTTAATGTGCATTTCCATGATGTTTAAGGTATGTAAGCAATCTGAGTATCACTTTATATCTTTTTCAGCCATTTAGATATTTACTTTTATGTGAGGTTGTTCAAGGTTTTCACCTGTATTTTTCAACTGGGTCATCTACCTTTCTCTTATTGATTGTAGAAGTTCTTTATATATTGAGGATATGATCCTTCTGCCAGGTAGACAGATATATCTATATCAATATATCTATCTCCATCTATATCTGTATCTATCTATGTAAAACATAGATGGCTTCATGGGTCATCTATGTCCTAAACTTCTCTTCTTAAAAGGACACAGGTCATTTTGGTGTCAGGTCTGAGCATTTGACTTAGTTTCATTAAGTCATCTTATTAAAGATCCTATCTGCAAATAAAGTCACATTCTAAAGTGTGAACATATGATTTTTTTGGTTTATTTGTTTTTTGAGACAAGGTCTCTCTCTTCCCTTCTTTCTCCTCTTCCTTGACTTAATACAATTCCACAGAATATCTCAGTAACAAACTCCTAGGCACAGGAAAAGGAAGGAAACTATCAAACATCTGCTTAGCCTTGAACTCACAGCAACGCTCCCGCAAATGCTGAGATTACAGGTATGCACCACCACACCTGACTCAAACATATGAATTTTGGGGGTGACATAACTTAGTCCATAACAGTGAGATAATACTAAGAACATGTTCGAACTTCTCTTTTCATTTATTTTTCAAAAGCTAAAACTTTACTAATGTTAAATAAATGGATTTATAGTTGACTGTATCACTTAAAAATAAACACGCCTTTGGGATACATGTTCAAAAATTATTTGTGCTACAGGGGAATAGTTAAAGAAGTTTGGAGAACAACAATCTAAGGCTTTGGGCTACAGAAGACAGGTCAAGGAGTTGGCAGGAGAGAATGTAACTGGCTGTTGAAATTGAGCATGAAAGATTAAATCTGAAAGCTCTCAGAGGCTTGGGAGCTGTGCCCGAAAGGGCAGGACAGCTGGGGCGGTGACTGGCCTGAGAACCACCAAGATGCAAAGCTTCAGCTCACAGTGTGTGGCGGGCAGCAGGACCCCATGCCCTCAGTGTCCCGGTCCTGTTAACTCAGTTGTGGCCAAAGACTTGCTCTGGTTGATGTAACGTGTACAGAGGTGGCACATGCCCCTCCGGAGGAGCATCTGCTTAGCCAGTACTCAGGTCACAAACCCTCTCCCTTGATAACCCCAGAGGGACCGCGCCATCACTCCCAGCACAAGGAAGACCTGGGCAGAGCCATAGCACGTCCTGGTGACACATCATCTTTGCTGTCATCAACCTCTGAATTGTTTCCGAAGCTAACTTCGTTTATTCTGACTGACAGACTGTATCTTTTTTCCTACACACAGAACAGATAATGAAACAATCTAATGACTACTCTATTGCGAATATAGGCCAGGAAAGATAAATGTCGGAGCTGGAATCCCCTCCTGTGGCACGGGTTAGGCTTTTGCTGGGGGATCTTGGGGAGAGGTGCCTCAGGAAGGGGCCACGCAGTCAGCACAATGGATAGTACAGAGGCGATTGTGCACTCCCTTCAGTAGCACACAGACAGAAGCATTTCAGCACAGCGTGCTGGCGCCTCCTACCTGCATACCAGACCCAAACAGAGGTGTTTCTTAGCTAATCTTACCTGCAATTTCTCAGCACAGGATTCTCACTTTAGATGGGTCAGCCAGAAGTTTATTTTCTTTCCCATTCCATTCCATTTCTCAGATTTGGGTGTCTCTACATTGCTCTTCCCTCCTTTCTCCTCTTTCTTGATGCAATTCAACTCTACAGGACATCTCAGCAACAAACTCCGAGGCACAGGAAAAGGAAGCAAACTATCGAACATCCACAGCATTTGGGTTGGGAGGGGCTGCAGATCATGAACGGCAGAATAGCACTCAAGTATTATGAGAATTACTTGTTGACATGACAATTTATTGATCACTATCACTCACTATTCAGCTACATTTACTAAACAAAGCCACCGGCAACTCCAGTCCCTATTTCAACAGAGGTGTTTTTGCTGTCATCGGTGCTGAAGATCGAATCCTGGGCCTTGCACATGGTAGGTAAGTGCTCTACCATAGAACTACTACCCCAGGCCCAGAACTGGTATTTAAGAGACTTAACTCAGAGGAAGAAGGGCGGCCGCACACACCACTTGCTAATCTGTGACTAGCCCCTAAATTGGAAAACACACTCACCTCACTCCACAGAACGGCCTCATGGAAACTAAGCATATTCTGAAGTGTAATGGACTAGCAGAGCGAGTCACTGTGTTTATGCCGCGGTGCTCCTGACGGACACCCATTCTTAGAAGATGGAGGTGCTGGAAACAGCAGCTTAGCACTGCCAGATGCCACGCAGATTTAAATTCCTCAGCACTATCGATTGAGCGGAATGTGATACCACATCTCTGTACTGTCACATTATGTGATGTGTGTGACAACCTCACAGAAGCCTAGAGAATTCAAGTCCTCCCACTAACAGAAATCAGGGCTTTAAAATATTCCATAAAAACCATGTCTTAGTCAACTGTGCAGTGCAGTCTGGAGCCTGACACAAAGGAGATGTTATTATTATTTATTTTATTTTTTTTGAGACGGGGTCTCTCTATGTAGTTCAGGCTGGCCTTGAACTCACAGCAATCCTCCTGCCTCAGCCTCCCAGGTACTGTGATTACAGGCATGTGCCACCACACTTGGGGAAGGAAATGTTTTGAGAAAGAGAACAAAAAGTTCAGAAGATAAACATACTAACTCACCCATTTATTGGGAAGGTTAAAAAATGGCTAACACCGTGTCATTTAACCACTTAACAGTTTCCCCGAGTGTGACTTGGCAGCACGTTTGTTTACATACTGATCAGCCTGAGCAGCTCTCAAGCAGGTATCATTCCAACCAGTCGATGAATAAATTTGATAAAACTGTCATTTCTGTATTTCCTGCTATATAACCTTATAGAAATTAATGGAAAATGCAATTTTGGGTCATTCCATATTTAAATAATTGGACCAGTCAGTGTGATAACTAAACTTTGATAACTTTGATAACTAAATTTGGGTAACTAAATTTGGAAAGTGGTAACTAAAATTGGAAAGTGGTACCCAATGCCTATTATGATAACTAAAATTGGAAAGTGGTACCCAATGCCTATTATGAAGTCATGTAAAAATTTATTAAAGGCACACTTACATGTTTTCTGTTGATTTATGTACTGCTAGGGATCTTTTTTACAATATTACTTAAGACATATGCATACATAATGTATGATTACACCCACTATTTAGGAAATTCATTTGAATTAGAAAGTTTCTAAAAGACGGTGAAGGAAATAAAAAGGTTGTCCCAAAAGTCACACTCTTTAACTGCAGGTGATCTCTCAGTACCTACTGACTTTGCTTGACACATAATTTAAGAAACTTAGCTAGGGGAACTCAAAGTAGAAGAAATTTAGAAGAGAGTCCAAAGGGCTTTGTTTTGCTCAGGATCATGGTGGAGTTGAGGACTTGGAATCAGGTAGGCAGGGAGGGTCACCTAAAAGAGGGCCTCAGCTAAAGTTAGGAATGGCAAAAAGACAAAGCAACGTTAGAATTAGAGTCCTGTGTAGACTCAGATGCAAGACTGAAACACTGGTGAGCTGATGTCAGGTAATAAGAGCTTAAAATTCAGAATCTGAGGAGCAAGAGACCAGATGTGGGAGACCAACCAGCTTGCCCTCAGTCTAGGGCACAAGGTCTGGGTCTACTCTGCCCTCCTCTGGCAAGTCTGTGTCCCCAAGGAGGCATCCCACTGTCTGGTCTCCATTTGGGTCTGGGACAGAGCTAACAACCCTGGGGAAATCATTCATTCTTCCATTCAATAAACTTTAATTGTGTGGCTACTGTGGTCCACACACAATAAGTTCCTTACTGCCTGCAAGGAATTTAGTCTAGATGGAGAGATACTACACACACATACACACACGTAAGTCACCATAAATACATCCTTCCCTACTGAGAAGAATGCTAGGAAGGAAAAGCACAAGATGCAGGAGCAGAAAATAAGGAGGCGGGACTGCTTAGATGGAGAGATCAGTAAAGGAGATGTTAAGATCTGTTAAAGTTATCTGAGACCTCAAGGAACAAGTCTATAGACTAACAGTGTTGGGATTATTGATCCATGGCAAGGCAGAATGAGACAGAGAAGGAAGTGTCCTGGGAAGGTGAGATTTCCTCCACAGAGCCCAGGTAAAATTGTGGATCAGCTGTCATCACAACCTAAGTGAGAGATACCAACCTTGAGCTAGAGCCAGCAGCCTGGAGTGTAGGAACAAGAGCTGCTGATGGCACTGACTG